GTTTTTTTTTTTTTTTTTTTTTTTTTTTTTTTTCTTTTTTTTTTCGCATTCTGAGTCTCATCATTGTACGAGAAAGTACGGGTATAATAACGCAACGTGCATTAAATATGTAACTTTAATACGCAACCCAACATCCGCGATTATATTACATGCTGAATCATGTGCGTCGCGTTCGAAGAGCTCGAAGAAGACCGCTAACGGTGGAACATCTGCTGTACTATCGATCCTGAAAACATTTGCATCCTCCTAGACGTAAAAGAGAAAAATAGATGGAAGAAAGAGGTAAATGAAACGAGACATTGTCGACGAGAGAAAGTAAAAACGGTTATGTCCTTTTTGTAACGATGAAACGAATAATCGCGAACGTGATACACAAGGCTGACATGTAATATGATCGCGTGTGTTTCCAGCGACACGTAACTTTACGATTAAAACTCGATCGAATGGGAAATCGAGCAGCGAGGGTGGATTAGCGATCTCTTAGATTGTTACGAACTCGTTCGAGATACTTTTTGTCCCTCCGTGATACGAGCAAGGAGAACAGCTACTGAGGATTTTACCATTTTATCTACATTTTTCAAAGACACGCACTCTTTTTCTCTATCTCTCTTTATATCTCTTTCTATTTCTGTCTAATGTTATCCCGTGATTTGTAGCGCCACCCGAAGTCATATGCGTCGATGTTTAGTATCTAGATCTTCGATAAGAAGGAAATCGAAGGAAGGGCAGAGCGAAAAAAAAAGAGAAAAATCGAATCGAAAGATTCTGCGATTGCATTATCGATTATCATGGAACCACATGTAAACGCTTCGATGAAGAAAACACCTGAATTTTTAAGAATACGAAAAACCAAATACAATCTGTACCGGAAATTTTGCAGAGTTCCTTTTTCTTTACGAATCGTCAAAAGAAAAAAAAAAAAAAAAACAGAAAAAAGAAGAAAAGAAAATGAGATATCTTCGAAATGATGATAATTACGACGACATTGATGATGATGTTAATGATGATGATGATAATAATAATAATAAAAATAATAGAAATAATAAAAATAATAATAATAATAACAATTAACGAGAACACTGTGTTTCGAGAAATGCTATACGAATTTTTATTGACACGTTTTTTCTTAATTCTTCGATTCTATCTGCCGAGAAAGGAAACCATGAAAATGAAGAGCTACCGTTATTCAGATAACCATCGAACCTCTTTCGATTATCGACAAGCAATACAATAGCCTCATTGGCGCGTACAACTCGATAAGATGGCGCACGTTCGGGGAACAGAATTTTGCGATGACTTATAGACGGTTATATACATGTATATACGCATATGATATGTATACATACCGAGTTAAGTTACATGCATTATCATCTCTTTATATACATATATACACACACAGAGAAAGGGACAGAGAAAGCGAATACACACGATAAGGCACACACAAGACCACAAACTAAATATACATATAATATACGGTATAATATATATAACCGGATGTTCGACCAAAGGAAGCTTTTCCTATGCGAAGCAGATCCGCGAAATTTTGAAAGTATCTTCTCTCAAGAGGGAAAGGTTCCTGTCGTTGAACAAGAATCCGATCGATTTAATGCAATTTGCTAAAAGGAAAGAAGAAGAAATAAGAAAATTGAGAATCCGACCTCGTTCTTCGTGGTATTTGGCACGATGCCATCGTGTCCATTTTGAAAGTTTTAAGAAAGAAATTTTGCTACGTGACAACCGGATACCGTTCGTTGCTTTGCCGTGGCGTTCGTTGCGATTCAATGACGAATTCGATCGATCGCGAATAAAACCGCTTTTTCCCTAGGGATCAGTCCTTTTCTCTACTATATCGAACATTCTCGATTACCGAAATCGAATCACTCGGTTTACACGGAGAATTTCGTACGGGATCATCTTGTTTCTCGTTTTTAACTTTATGCTTTATCGCAAATTCTTGTATATATTGAGTTACACGACGGGAAAGCTCGCGTACATTTTAAACGAGACGAAACCATGTACGATTGTACGAATACATCGGAAAAGTTGTTCGAGTATACGTGAATTTATTTGACGAACATAATCGATCGAATTCGCCGACAAATCACTTTTATGTACCTGTTACGACTGATTATTGTGTATTATCGCCGCGAACAGTAAATATATACATATACATATATATAATTTGTGTGTGCGCGTGTGTGTATATATCTATATGCCATACGGTCACCATTATTTTGTAATTATCGTTAAATGTCATTGATTGCTTGCTACCCGCGATTCGTGATCCACCATAATCTTATATCGGTAATCGTATGTACATATCGAGTTAACAAAGAAATCACAAGAGAAAAAAAAAAAAAATTGAAAATGCGAAAAAATATAGACGAATGGTGGAGGTTATAGTCGTATGATGATCCGAAGTAGCGGCCAAGCGAGAAAAGGCATTGCGAATCGTCACTCGATAGACGCATCGTGGGCTGTTTCGTTTCTTCCACGTGTGCAAATAACAAACTGCCTTCTGGAAAATGGGAAACAATTAGTCAGGTGATACGCCGAGTGGATAAAATGTAACGGAACAGGGGTGAATTAATCGCGAGAGATACGTATATCGTGATAGAAATATGTTGAGCAAGCAAACAGAATGCGCGAAGTGGCGATTTTAACCAATTTTTTCAGGGAAATCGTAGACTTCGTTTCTCTCGTGAGTTTTATGCGATAATCGTTCGGTGGATACATCTGCGCATACTGCTCGAAAGGAAGATACGCAATAAACGAAATATCAGTGGAACGTTAGGCGATGAGGGAACGGAGCGTGATATCGCTTGAAGTGTGTAACGGATGAACTGACGATTGTACCGAATGTTTGCTGCGAATGTCGTAGGATCGTCGTTTTCGTAATAATCGATCAATCGTTGTGGGAACACTGTCGATTCAACGTGATATTTCGAGATATAGGTTTGTTACGGGTGTATCCGCCGGGTGTGCACAAAACATTGCATGAACCGTAATCGAACTTATATTTGCGGCATTCGAAGAATGGCATTCAACGATAAAACTGTACATACGCACGTTTACTATTATCTATTTACTATTACGAGAAATCTTATTCCTAAGATCTTCGACTGTACGACTTTATCGAAACGAGAATAATTCTGGTAATGAAAACGACAACAAGAAAAACAACAAAAACGATCTGCATTGCATACATTGTTTAGCGCCATTGTGAACTCTATCCCTTCTTATGAGATAAGCATAATTATATTTGTTTATATATACATATACATGACAACATACGTATAGAAACATTACAAGAATTATTATTATTATTACTATTATTCTTATTATTACCATTATGATGATTATCATTATTATTAAATATTTATCACCATTTATTATTATGATTATTATCAGTAAACGAACAAGAAAACGATGAAGGTACGACGGATAATTGCTAAAAATTAAATGAAAGATCTTACTTATACATAATTATAAATACGTCATGATGACATATTCATAACAATTAATTATTACGATAACGTAATGACATTATTATTATTACTATTATAAATAACACCCTATTCCCATTTATTGTGAATGTTTACGTTGTTTTATGATATTCAGAATATTCTAAAAATAAAGTCTATAATTTCCACGAATATCTTCACTTTATTTACCTGCACTGACTTTATATTCTGAAATATATAAATCAAGATAATGTTCCAATAATACTATGTTTTCGGTTCGGGTAGTTATGTTTTATGATGTACGCACGTTTTATATAACTGGCAACGTTATTTATTTCATTTCCCATATAGGAGCTGTAATTGTATCTGCTAGGCGAAATGAAAAGTAATATTCGCAATGTCTTAACCGCATTTAAGTAATACCACTTCCGTAATTGCTGTCATTTTATATTATCTTTAATAACGTCAAAGAACGGTGGTCGAATACGATATATCATGGTTGCCTTAAAAAGTACAACAATTCGAGTATTTAAAAACGATTTAAATAATTCATCTGTACATAGAATAATACACGATATAATTGCTGAGAAAGAAACGATAATGGTGATGGAATATAAGAAATACTGAATATAGAACAACAAGAATGAATCTCGAAAATAATCGAAAAATCCAAGTCCAACGTTGACCCGTTTCGAAATTTCCGGACCTAATGTTCAGCGGGATCGACTTCTGCGCGCATTCATGAGCAAACAACTTCAAGCGATGAAACTGACATAAGTGCGCGTGCACGCGATAAGCGCGGCCACTTTCACGTTATTTTTTGTGCGATTATATACGCGCTGCTCCTATTAGGCCACGTCAAAATTAATTTCGTCGTTATTAGAAGCAACGTATTCTTTTCGGATGATTAGATTTGCCGTAATGAAAAATGTGAAGAATGTATAGTAGGTTACTACATCGGTGCATCAAGGCCGTCTAACAAGGCAGATAGCACTTTGGTCAAGTACTATTTTTATTCCAGTTGTTAACCTCGAACGACATATTCGCAGAAATGTCATTCGAAGGAAAGTACAACGTGAAAAGTCCTGGTAAGTACTATAGAAAATATAAATTTCATTCGTTTATCTGTCGTTAGAGTCACAAAATATATCAAATGCACAACATATACGTGTTTTTGCAACTTTACAGAACGTTTGTTATCTGTCGAAATTGTCGCTCCGCGTTATCTAATGATACGTGTTGCTGAGATTTCTACTGCAATATATAATGTTTCGTAAAAATATGCTGCATATATTAAGATACTTGATTAAATGGCTTTTATTATTGTGGTACCATACGTGATATTGTAATGGGTTTTGCATTATATAATAAATAAAATTTCAGCGGTGAAGAGATTAATGAGAGAGGCTCAAGAGCTTCATGAGGCTACAGAAGAATACTGTGCATCTCCTTTAGAAGACAATCTTTTTGAGTGGCATTTTACTGTTCAAGGACCACCTTCCACAGACTTTGAAGGTGGTGTTTACCATGGTAGAATTTTGTTGCCACCAGAATATCCTATGAAACCACCAAATATTATATTGTTAACAGTAAACTATCTTAATACAGATTATGCTTAATTTTTAAGTTAAAGCACTTGAAATAAAGGTATATTAAATATATATTTTTTTAGCCCAATGGACGCTTTGAAACTAATAAAAAAATTTGCCTAAGCATTTCTGGGTATCACCCAGAAACATGGCAACCTTCGTGGAGTATCAGAACAGCTTTATTGGCTTTAATTGCTTTTATGCCGACACCAGGAAATAGGACAATCGGTTCTTTAGATCATAGCACAGAAGAGAGGCAGAAGCTTGCAAAAAAGTAATTAATACTATTCTTCAATTTTAATATTGTCAATAGAAGATAATCTTTAAAATAATTAACTATTACAGATCTCTAAGTTGGCAATGCGATACTTGTGGCAAAGTTGTTGATTTGTTATCTAAAAACACAGTTAAGAAACCCATCACAGAGGAAGAACAAACTATGTTAAATACAATAGCTTTGAAGGTACTTTTCTATTACTACAATATTATGTTATATTTAATAATTCGTATTACATACTTTTAAAAATCGTACTTCTCTAGGCTGATGATTCACCTGCATCGGATACATCTTCTTTAGTCAATACAGATAGTACTTCAGAAAATCAACTAAGACAACGCAGTATTGAACCGATTAGTGTTGATAATCAAGATCAACAGCAATCGGATGTTATAGTAAATCAACAAGTAGAAACGATGTCATCTTCGAACGATTTATTTTGGAGTATTCTGATCGCTTCCTTAGTATCAGCGATAATTCTACTTATTTTACGACGGCTATTTCTTGTTTAAAGTATTCTAAATGTAACAAAACATTATGACTGTAAGTATATTAACAAGACGAAGTAAATTTTATACACATTTTATGAAACATTTTTAAACTTAGAAGAGAATGTCAAATTTATACACACTGGGAATAATCTGAATTTCATCTAAATAATATATGGCAAAGATTGCACTAATATATTCACTTTAGTACATATCTAGCTTACTCTTACAAAAAAATTGTTCATTACAAAAACTAGTTGTTTTTGATGAGTATAAAAATTGTGAAAAATTCTAAATCGCATTATTTTGTTTTTTACTCTTTAATTATCTCTTAGATGTTTTTTTAACTTTTTGATATTTAATATATATTTGCAATGCGTAATTTAAAAGTAATTCAATATCTACTAATAAAAAAGTTACAAATTGCATTTAAAAAAATATATATATATAGTTAATAATTTACACATGATTTTTTAGTTACATATAAATTAGTTCAGTGTTAAATACTCATACTACTTTCATCAGAGCTGTACTGTATTTGTAAAAATTTACCAAACATTTTTTAAACAAATCCATTTCGCAATAAAACTAACATCTTTCATACAAGTGAATTTTAATTTCATGTCACTATGGTCTGAAATTACAATTATATTTTTTTGCTCCCTCATTGTTATATAAATGTAGATAACTTGTATATTAGAACTGTATATAACTAATATAAATTCAATGTAAGTTAAACTATTGTGTTGTATTTCATCAAATTGTGCACATAAAAAGTAAAACCAAATACATCAATTTAAGGAACACTTAATTGCAGTACAAATATTAATACCAATAATTCTATCGACATTTGTTAATAAGTGTATAAGTAAACAAGAAAATCTAAGAGTATACAAAAAACGTATATGTATATTATTCAAATAACACTTATCCGATGCATAATTAAACATTAATTCCAACTACATGACCACACATATATTTAGACAATAGTATTTGGAACACTGTACATTTTGACCTCTTTCTAACTTCAATCTGTATTTAAACTTTGTTTAGATTTAGAATATATCCCATTATTAATATACAAAAATAAAACGTCATTACTATGGGACCATATGGAACATGGTTTCATTGTACCCATATATAATAAGGGGGAAATTAAAAATACGGGAATATTCGGGGTATGAAGTACATCTTTCTTGTCATTTCTTCTTGCATGTACATAAAAATATAATAAAGTAACTATTTATTAAAGCATATAAACATATTCATTTTAACATGTATTATTTTCACATTCAACTATTTACTCGCTGACCGATTTCACTGTAAATAATGAATCAACGTGATATGACAACCTTTAAAAAATTCGTATATCGAACTAAAATGCCGAAAGAAAAAGTCCTAGTTTATAATTGATGATAAATAAAATTTACGCAATTTATTGGACTTAATGCTATGGTTCTAAACAAAATTACATTTAAATAAATAAAAATACTAATACAAGATACCGTATTTTATAACGATTTCATTACATATTTTATTTAATTAATATCATACCAATATTAATAATTGCATTTAATATGTAAGCAAACAATGCACAGTATTGGTCGCAAACTCACAATAAAGTGTGAATGGCCGTGCACAAAATATAAACTATGTCATTTCGATCTCTAATGCTAGGCACAGATAAATATATTCTTAAAGCCAACAGTGATAAATTTTGTTTACAACTTCAAAATTGATACACATATAAATTATTTTTCTATACATAGAACATATATCTATAAAGCCATTAAATATTTGGAGTCGAAAAATACGAATTAATTCTAAGATTAAATATAAAATAGCCGATCGAAGTAAATTTCGACATACAATTGCAACTTACATAAAATAATAATTTCAGTACAAAGTATTAGCCATGAAAAGATTTAATACTGAAAATATTTTTTTGGTCCCTATTATGTTGAAGCACTTAAAATTTTCGAAAAAAAAGTTTTTGTCATAAATATTCACTAAATAAACGTTTGACAAATATTTGACATAATACTAATTTAGAAAATATACAGAAATTAAACCACAGTGAGAGAAGACAAGTTGAATTTGAATTTTATATTTTTTGCCAATATTAATTATTTTAGAATCATCAAAATATCAACTTTACTTAACTCTCGTGTAAATAATTTATTCATTACATTGTTCTTAATATAGAAACAAATTGCAAGCGTTTTATCATTTTTTTTCATATATCGTTTGAAGCACCTTTTCATTTTCTTCCATGTTGAACAATATTTATCAATTTTTTTATTACCACATTAGACACATTTTGCACTTAGGATTAATTTAAATATTAATTCTAAGCCACATACACTTTGCTCAACTAATATTTCTGTGCGTTTTTCATGCAATTTAATATAAATCTTTATAAACTTTATTTTGCTTATTCAATTTCCATTCATGGAGTTCAAGGTAAATTATGACGAGAAATAGAACCTATGGAGTGCATAAATAGCATGGCACTGAATTATTAACATATTGCATCATTATTATTAAACATTTTCATTACTCTTAACATTATTACTATATGTACTATTGCTGCATATATTTTGATTCGCTCTTGATGCAAATTATCCGCAAACTAATAATCTTAAGTTTAATTATGTAATTATACCGCAGCAAAGCAGTAAACGCGATACAATCGAAGTTTAAAACAGCATATAGCGAATTTTATATTTTCTTTATCTATTGTAAGGCAGCCTACCTCGGTTTGAAATTCATTCATTCATCAATAATCGATAGTCTATCTAAAATTGTGATCTAAATATCTCGTAATAATTTAACTTCAGTAGAAACATGTTTTTGTACACTCAAATATATATCAACACTAATCTCGGCATCATTTCGTCCTGCCTTGCTTCCCTTCTCTCTCTCTCTCTCTCTCTCTCTCTCTCTCTCTCTCTCTCTCTCTCTTCCCTTTCATCTCTCGCTCTATCTTTCTCACTCTCACACTGCAAATTTTACAGAGATTCACAGAATTTTATCATGACTAGACTTATTTAGACTATGTAATAGTCTTCTTTGTATAAAATACGGTTAATGTAAGATATACCTAGATATACTAAGCTTTAAAAGAAAATTCTTCCACAAAAAGCTGTTCATAATTTCACTCGCAAAAAAATATATTGCATTGATAGCACCTGATACATTTTAATCTTAATTTCTGCTTCGAATTTCTTTTTCCTATCTAAATTAAATAATAAAAATTTTACGAACATAAGAAATTATGTTGTAGATGAATGATATGTACTGTTTAACCATTTGAAGCATAATTGGCGATTTATATAAAGATTCTTACAATATTTGATTAAGAAATTTATCTTTCATAAAAAATTGAAAAACTGGTTGAAATAATTTTTATATTATTGGAGTATGCCTCAAAAGGTTAAAATAGTATATTATGACACTATGTAACGGTATGTATATAGAAAAAAAAATGAGATCAACATTAACTACAGTAAATTAATTTCATATACAAAGGAATTAAAACGAAAATAAAACATCTTTGGTGTAGAAATAAATAAAATAACAATATTAATATTATTTAAAAAAAATTGTAAACTTTGGAAATAGAATTCATAGGTTATCAACAGGAAGAAAGTTATTGTCCTGTGGAAGTTGAGTGAAATCAGAATAATAATATTCAAACATGTTATAAAATGAAAATAAAGTCGACATCAGCTAAAAAATACAATAAAAAATACATAATACAATAAAAGTCTCATCGTTCGTTTAAAGTTCAATGATCAAACAAAACATTACTTTATGAGTGTAAAATTTATATACATGTGGTATAAAAATTTCTCTTTCACATGAATCATTGGCATGTTTTAGTAATAAACTATTGAAAGGTATTTTCAGGTAATATACCTTTCTTTAAAATTCTATTTTAATTACATTAACTTATACATATATGTATATATACCTTGAAACAATATAAATATATCTTCATATTGTTTCAACAATACAAATATTGAAACAGTAGAATCTTTTTTTGTTTCCTAAAAGTATTTTATACACATTAATTCCGTTGTGTACTTTTCCTTGTAATACAAAAATACAAACAATCCTGTTTAATTGTAAATGCATTATTTATCAACTAGCATTAGTCCATTCTCCCGTTTCTTTTAACGCTCTATCCGTTAATCTTTCTATTTCAGTCAAAAGCTGTTCAGTCTCTAAGTCAACACATACCATATCCGATTCTACCGGATCCCATTCTAAACTATTTGGTGTCGACACCCTAGACCAAGGAGATGCTGTCAAGCTAGAGGGTTGACTATTATTTATCGACGTTTGAGTTATAGAACCGTCAGTACTTTCAACTTTCTCATCATCCATAATTGGCAGAGGCATTCCTAAACACATAGCAATTTTTTAATATGTTATAAATGTATCATATATAATTCTGTATGTTTGTAATTAAATACAAATTTTCTTACCTTCATGTTCCCACTCTAGATCTAATGATGAGCCAGGAGTGGAAGAAACACATGCTTGTTGTTTCATTAATGTTCTTGCATCAAGAATTTGGAGTGGAGTATCTAGTCCAGAACTAACAAATTATTTTATTATAATTAGTTACTTTTGTGTCAATCATCACAATAATATAGTTAAGTATTGTTAAGTAGATATTATACCTTGTAGAAGCATTATTTCTAGACTTTAATCTGGCATATTTATTAGTACCCTTTGACCATGCTCCATCTTCTAGTAATTCTAATGTTACAGGGACTCCATGTTTTTTCTACAAATATAATATAAATATTGAAATTTTCTTGATATTGAAAAAATGTAATGACAAAATGTAATTATTGACTAATGTAATCAGAATCAATGATTGCATTAATAAATAGACTTACTATGCCCAATAAAATATATAAAACTTCAGATAAACTAATTCATTTACCTTGAATCGGTTTAAGGAGAGAAACGATAACAGGCTATCCAGGAAGCATAACAATGAAGCATGTAATTAATATAACAAAAATGAAACACTGCCCTAAAACTCAATACAATTCCTTACGTTTTTGATCCTCTAGGTTTGTCTGCATCTCCTTTGTCATCTATAAACTATAAAAAGACAATTCTATATATTGATGTTTTTTATTAAAACATCAAAAAGCATAAAATTATATATACCTCAACTTGTTCGTCTCCTTGGTAGGACATACTGGTGTGTCTTTGGTAAAATCTTAAATTTAAATATGTTCTATGTCAGGAAAGAGAAATATGCATATGATAAAGATATATTCATAAAAAATGTATATAAAGGGCAAAAATAGTACATGGATAGAAAGGAACATCAAATTAAGATATCTCTAAAAATGGTTTTTACTTTATGATAAAAGATATATTTCTAACCTGTATGACAAAGAGTCTGTAACTTTGGAAATGCAGCGGCCGAAACAGGCCCCCATGACCTGTTAACACACGGCGTATCGCCGTCATCTAACTGATATAAGCGTTCAAATGCCAATATTTAATTTTCACGTGATACGTGAAGGATAATGGGAATGATTGGTGATACTTCATACAAAGGTACAGAAACATCAAACGCGATTCATCTCTTCCAAATATAACGTATCGCACCTTTGAGCATCTGTCAGTTGCATACTTGAATGCACTCTTGTCCGCTGCAGTTTTACTGGCATGCTTGCGTCAGTAAACAAGCTCACCAACTGGAGGATTCCGAAGAAAAATTGAACAATTATTTTTTAACTATCTGAGAGTCAAAAACCAACAAACATATTAAAATCTACTTACAGTACGTTTATCTATATGTAAATAGTAGAAAGCTCGTTGAGGTTTGATCAAATTCGTATTAGTAATTATTTCTGATTAAAGGAGGTATTCGTTTAGTGAATTCATCGTTGGAAAAAGACAATAGTGGTACGATTAGCAAACAGTAGAAGGGATAGTTGTCATTACTTTATAGTTTTATAGTTCATGTGAAATGAAGTATTGTTCAGTATTTGGCAAACGGTGCTGGAGAAAGAAAGTAGTTTAGTGTTTTCGGTATTTTGTCATGTCTTCATCTGGTAATTTATAGTTAGTTCCATTCGATGAAATTTTTAAAAAATTATTAAATTCATAAAATTATGTCTTTGTATACGATTCTATAGTGTAGTTTAGAAATCAAATTTTTTTTTGAAAATATATATATATATATTGAAAATATATATATATTTTATATATATATATATATTTTGTAACTGTAGACATTATCAATAACTGAATACATTTTACCTTAAATTTAGGTTGAACAAGACTTGCCACTAAAATGATTTTAAAACAATGACAAAAGTACAGTAATAACTGTTAATTAAATAATACAATAATTCTTCCTGTAGAAGACAGATATATACATATTCACAATGAATTCTCTAATTGTATTTACTTTAATACTTGTTACATTACTTAATGTAAAACATGGATTATTAATAACACAACATCCAAAACTATTAGTAATATCATATGATGCATTCAGGTATTTTATATAACTTTATTACTTTTTAATTGTAACATACATGTAAATTATTATACTGATTCAATCCTTTTTTAATTTTATAGGTATGATTATTTTGACAGAAATTTAACACCATTCATGAACAAATTGAGACATGAAGGCACACATGTAGATTATATGATGAACATTTTTGTCACGAAAACATTCCCTAACCATCATACAATGGCTACAGGATTATATGCAGAAACTCATGGAGTTGTTGACAATAAATTTTATGATCCTATTTCAGAAAATACAACAGATGATTTATATGATTTATATCACTATGATAATAGAATTCTTCCTATTTGGGTATGTCAACTATAATACATAAATATTTATTTCCTTTATTTACTTTTTTGTATGTTTTATTTTTGTGTAATGCAATTTTATGTAATTTTTTATGTAACAGATCATCAATGAAAAAGGTGGTGCTCAAAGAAGAAGTGGTACAATGATGTGGCCTGGTTGTGCTTATGAATATCAAGGAATTACCCCTACATTTTCACAGGTTTATATTTTTTATTATAGTAAATTTAAAAAGTGGAATTTGTATAATACAAATAATAGATTTCTAATTATATCAGAATTTCCTTATATCTATGCCATGGGAAGAAAGAATAGATACTTTAATATCATGGTTTGTTCATCCTATACATCCAATAAATTTTGGAATATTATACTTTGAGGAGCCAGATTATCATGGCCATGGTATTGGAATAAAAGGACCTGAATTTGATGATATTCTTAGAAAATTAGATAATATAACTAGATATCTTCATAATAAGATAGAATATCATGGTTTACATGATCTCAACATTATTCATTTGAGTGATCATGGAATGGCAAGTGTTAAATTAGACAGAATAATAGATTTAACAAAGTATATTAACAGTTCCGATTACAAGTATGTGGGTACCTCACCAGGACTTCACATTTTCCCCAATACTGGTGTGTTGAGTCATTCTATAAGCCACTAAGTTCATTTAAACTATTAAGATAATGAAGTAAAACAAGCAAATAATATTTTCAGGTAAAGAAGAAACAATTTACCAAGCATTGAAACAGGCATCATTAGAAACAAAGACATTCAGAGTGTATAAAAGAGAAGAAATTCCAAAAAAATATCACTACAGCAATAACACACGTGTTGGTCCTATTTTTATTATTGCTGAAGTTGGATATGCATTCGATAATCTTTATCAGAATATAGAGCATTATAAAAAGGAATTTAATATTACCGGTAACATATATGATTTTTAAAATAGAGTTTCCAACTCAAGTATATGAAATTGGAAGGGTATAATAATATTTACTTTCAGTAACCAGTGATTCAGAATTCGGACTTCATGGTTACGATAATGAAGCTGTAGAAATGCATCCTTTCTTCTTTGCAAATGGTCCAGCATTTATGAATAAATGCAAACTCGAGCCTTTTAGTAATCTAGATTTATTTCCATTATTTTGTAAGATACTTGGTCTACAATGTCCTATAGGGAATGGTACTTTATCACATTTAACCAAATGTCTTAAAAAGCACCAACAAGATATCACAGTGATCGCTTATCGAAAGATATGTAAGTAGAAATCATATACTGTCGTGTTCACAGTTGTTTACCATTTATTACTAACTCAGTTGTAGCCACTACTATATCCATGACAATGGTTGGAGTTATAGGAGCAATAGTAATGTTCTATATGAGGAAACGACGACAAGGAGCAAAAAGTTATAGGTAAGTAAAATATACACTTACTGACAAAAATTAAAAAGCAATGTAATCGTTTGGTAATTTGGGTATATTTTCTATCTTCTACAATACTTAGGTTGAAACTAAGAATGACATAATAAAATAACATTCCATACATCAGTAAACAATAAGTTTTTTTTCTAACATACTTGTGTAAAGACCACAATTAAATTGAATCGAAAAAATAAAACAAAATCTGCATGACATTAGTCAAGAAACATACAAAATACTCACAAGAAGTTCCCTTTTTGACATTACTCAGTCTAGTTCATATTATAGTTTGTGTTAAATATGACAAGAAGGCAATATTTAATAAACGCTGAAAAACTGAAAGTAGTTAAAAAGGACAAGAAAAAAATTAACATAGCAAGAGTGTTTAGTGTGAATCGTTGCATTATCACTAAGATTATAAAACGATTTGACAAATATGGAACTGTTAAAACAGCACCACGAACTGGCTGGCAGACTACGAAAAATAACTAAAAAGCTAGATCGTCGAATTGCAAGGCCCTCGAAGTCGAATCCATTTTACACTGTTTTTCAAATTAAAAATCAACTGGGTCTGGAAAACATTCGTAACAGAACTGTTAGCTGTCGACTTGTGTCGAAGAAAAATAGAGTAGCTCGATTGGAGTTTGCTAAAGAATGGCATAATTGGACTACTACTGAATGGTCAAAAATTCTATGGACTGATGAAAAGTTCAACTTGTTTGGAAATGACTCTAATAATAATGTGCGATAATACTGGACAACGATTTGATGTTAAATACCTAAAACCGACTGTAGAATTTGGTGGCGGTAATGTGATGGTGTGGGGTTGTATATTGCCTAACGGTCCTTGTCCATTAATACAAATAAAAGAAACAATGGATAAATTTGTGTATTACAACATCTTACAAAATCATATGCTGCCATTTGCCAATGAAAAAATGTTATCTGGGTGGTCATTTCAACACGATAACGATCCCAAACATTCTTCTAACTTAGTTAAACAGAACAGTTAGCAGAACAAAATGTTAATGTAATCAAATGGACAAGTCAACCTCATTCAATATGGAATGTTATTTTATTACGCTATTTTTAGTTTCAACCTATGTATCTTAGAAGATAGAGAATATACCGAAATTCCCAAATGATTACGTTATTTCTTAACTTTTATCAGTAAGTGTATATGTTAGAATAGTTTTAGATTGAAAATATATTAGACATATAAATAATGTTTATAATTTCGAAACTTGTAAAAAATTCCAATTTAAGAAGCATTTTATTAATATAACATTGAAATTTTTATTTTTCCAGATATTATCCATGGGATGGATAGTTTATAAAAAATATCAAGCAATATACGAAATACATGAATTTTCATATTACATATAGATAAAATGAATTTAAAAATAATGATAATAACAAATAGCATCATGAATAATAAATAAATCTGATTTTGTTTTTTATGAATGAAGTTTTGTTATTTTAAACTTCGGAAAATAGTGAAATGTTTAAATAAAATTTTAGTCTGTTTAAATAATCCATACGTTAATTATAGTACTAGATGTAATTATATTATACATACTTTTGAATTTATACAAGAATATAAATAATTTTTAACTAGTTTTTATTAGAGCATTGTTGAATATCATTTCATGAAAGAAACGCGAAAAATTTTAACGTGACAACTAGCTACTGATGTACAGCATAAGAAATAAATTTTTTAATAGAAAGTTAAATTTCTCATTTATATGTTCACAAAGAAATCCATTATAAAAAGAAGCTGCTTCCTAATATCATTACAATATTATTCTTATAGCACAAGTGTCAAAAATAACCAGATTCGACATTTTATTTTTAGAAAAATACTGGAAGATTTGGAAGCACAATACCATTGGGATGAATATCACAATATTGAAAATACTACTTGCAAGTAAATTTAAAAAAAAATCTGTTCAAATTTCTGTTTCTTATTTCATCTTAAAAAAGAAATTATCTTCTCTTTCTTCAAGATGAAACAAAAATTATGAACTTCGTATCAACCAATGTGGTTAATAATTTATTTCTCTTTTCAGATTAAACAATCTTCCAAATTTATTCATAATTTTATGCTATGCAAAAAGTCGAGGAAATATTAAACATAGGAAAACTCTTTTTCATTATAGGTAACATATACTTTACTCATCTGGTGGAATATATGTTTAAATATATATAAATGAGAAAATACTTCTGTAATGAAAAAAAAGAATTGATACTTTCAAATAATATTTTAAATAGTGTATATAATGTTACGAACAATCACTATTAGTTCATATTCTAGATATACAAACTTTTATGAGTTTTCATAAAATACTTCCTACATAAACTTTTTATTCTTTTAAATTATACTACATTATATAATAAGCATATATATTACATGTAATATAGAAATAGGATGATATGAATTGCCTTTTTACTTGTACTAATAAGCACGAATGATCTAAGTATTTAAATAAATCGTGACTGAATAATAACTATACACAACATTAGTTTAAAAATTAAAATGTACAATGGTATTTTGCAAAATTTGACTAACAGACCAAATGTATTTATGACGTGACTACACCATTCATGTGACAATTCATATGTAAATAAATCGGTTGTAAATAAATACTCTCAATTCAAAACTGCTTTTCTTTTCCTTTCGTCTAACCAATAGAAACGGGAATAATAATAACGAAGATGTTGTACTTAAAACGTTAGTAGTAAATAACTATAATATCGTTTCTATGAAATGATCCAAGGGTCTATTCGCCTGATTATTATCGAATAAGTCAGATTTAACAAGTTATGTCATCGTGCACTAATGACTGATAACGATATTGTCAAATGGACACAATTAAACGATAAAGTGTAGGAAAATTACGTAAAAAGGTTATTTTCTGTCACCCTATGATATAACAATTAATTTATAAAAAAGTGCCTTTAAATTTTTACAAAAAAAGATAGAGACGATACCGCAGTGAAAAATTACAAATTACCAAGTTTCTGGAATTAATTTATGAACTTTATAACGACATCGTAAACAACATTCCTATTCCAATTTTCGTATATAATTTGATGCTAATTAGTTTGCTATTAATAATTATTTGAAGACGTTCGTAATTTGATAGCAATGGTTGGTATGATTGTTTCTTCAAATATTTAATTATGAACAAAACTAGAAATAAAATGTGATCACAAATGATATGAAAGGATATGCAAGAACATTGTCTTTATAATATGTGCATATAATTAGTAAATTAATTACATAAAAGGGAGTAAGATCTCCTCGCAACCCATCAAATTTTGAGGATGTGAATGAATCTTTTGACGCTTTTATTTTTCGTGTATTATTTCATTTTAGCCAAAAATACAGAGTAAATAAAAAAATGTTAACATACATATATGTATTATAGAAATTTATCCTATGAAAATACGAATGTAGTTATAGGTTATAAAAAATGTATGAATTGTTAAATTTATTATTAATAACAAATTGTTAGCAACGTAAATTTATAATAAAAGTGTACAAATTAATAAGTTACTCGTTATTATTTGGATTTATAATGAACTTGAGTTAAAATGTACCTATATCTTTCAAAAAGCTTATAAATTATTACATTTATTGTTAATAACAAATTAATATTGCTAACAGCAAATTGTTCACGACGTAAATTTGTAATAAAAGTGAAAAAATTAATAAATTATTGGTTATTACTTGTACTTATAATATACGTATGTAAAAATGTACATATAATTTGCGAAAGAGTTTATAAATTATTATTTTTAAATTAACAAATTAATATTATTATTAACAAATTGTTCGCAACGTATATTTATAGTAAAAGTGGAAAAATTAATAAATTATTTGCTATGAAAGTGGGAAATTAATAATTAATGTAATCGGCAAAGTTTGAAATTTTTAATTGGGGTGGGGAACTCGGCCGATCGGAGACTATATAAAGGGCGACCCGACATAGCATAAGTTATTTGTCGGTTCGACTTCGGAAGTGTCACATTAAAGTCTTTGTTGTGCGCGAGAGGTGGGGGTCCGAAGTGAGGTTGGGGATGGCTACCCCACCCCATTAAAGAATTTACTAATCATTTTTTTTTATTTCCAGCTATTAATTATTTTTTTCGGGTATTAATTATTTTTTTTTTTTATTTCAGATGTTATTTTTCGTTTATATTTATTTATATTTGGACATTCGAATATTTCGTATAATATTCGAACGTCTCATCGTTAAATTGTTTATGTCTCGTCGTTGGCTTGTTTATGTCTCATCGTTGGATTGTTAATAATTTTTATTAATTTTTATTTCAAGTCTAATTTATTTTCTTTTAGGTTTTAATTATTCTTCTCTTTCCACATTTTATTTTTTCGTTTCTATTCATCTTCATTCAAACATTCGAATATTTTGTATAATATTCGAATGTTTTGTTGTTGGTTTCTTTATGTCTCATCGGTGGCTTGCTTCTTTCACTAATCCGTTTACTAATCCGGTACTAATCCGTTTCCTTTCAGGTTTATATTAACAATAATATATTCTGTTTTAGCTTTTAGGTTTCTCAAGATTTTCAAGTTTCCTCAAGACTTCATTTGAGACACATCAATGGACGACGTGAGATGTGTGCGTTAGATCTAAGTAGACCTAAGTAGTGATAAGATAGATATCTAGTCTAAGTCTCATGTGCGCGTTATCTGTACGAAGGTAAACTACCTAACTTGGAGCGAATATACATATTTCATATTTTTCCTCCCTTATCCTCCTCGTTTACTAAATAGAACATAATTGTTCTCGCGAAAATCGCGATCGTTCTTAAGTACCGACTAGCCTGCGCGTCGTACTCTCGTGTACTCGATAACTCCATGTTTCGTAAGTCATCCAAACGACTCGCTCCGACACCCACCATCGCCACTGCCACCCTTGTCACGCATCGGTTCTAGGGTGGTCGGCGGGCTGGCACTTACCTGGAATCAATACGAGGGTCTGTCGGCCTTAGTCGTCCTTGGCACCAGCGCGTGCACGAGCGGGGTATGGGTCCTGTAGTCGTAACACTGCATATGGGCCTGCGGTCAGACCCTATGGGATGATTAATTTCTTCCCCATGTGGCAGGGGCCTGCGTGACCGGCTACAGGGCCTCGCTAGGGACCCTCGGCTTGATTTTGGGTGTTTCGCTGGTTCGTCGATCGTTCTCGTTCGCAAGTAAGTCATGGCAGGGTCTGTGGTGGCTGGATGGGCTAGGTTCGATCGGGAGGGTGCCGAGGTATGAAGTTGTCTAGTACATGGGAGTACGTCTCGTAGGCTAGTCGGTCTTTCGAATAATCGCGAATTCGTTTTGTCGCGATTGTCTTTGCTCGCGTTTTTCATATTTGAGTCCCTAAATTTATAGGAACTTAGAAACATCAGAGTTTATTGAAACAAAATATCTTAGCGTTGCGACAGTAAAGTTTTAGAATACCAAATCGATGTCCCATTTGTAAGACACGAATTTTAATAAAGTGTCAGTAGAGTCACTTTAACTTAATTCGCTCCAAGTTAGATTAGGGTGCCTTTGCTACAGATAGCACCAGTAGGTTGCGCCACTAGGGCGCATGTCTGGGTCTCGATGCGTAGCCACCTGGTAATTGGTATAGTTTTCCAAAGAAAAATCTTTGGGAAACGATACCAAGCTAAGAGCTACGCACAAAGATTAAGATAAAGATTAAATTTATTTTCTATCATCGTTAACATAGCGCTACATAAATAAAAGTTGTGCTAAAATGAGATCTACTGGATTATGATTGTGGCGTCGATTACACGCAACTACGGCCCTGACATAGCTAGGTACGCGAGCAATGGCCGCGTGGCGGCAAAATCCCGCTTACGGGTTCCCAATACATATTTTACGTCCTATCAATATCGAACATCATTCTAATATTGTTTCTGGATGGTTTCTTCTTCAAAAAAGCCTACAGAATACGCTATTGTGTACCAAACTCGTGTCGGATAAAGAACTTTCTGTTAAAATGCAAGAACAAGTTTGGGAAGTATGCTAGTGGACGTATTTTCAAACTTTTATGACCAATTATAATTATTTAGAAGCACGAATAATTATGATTATGGACATTGATGAACTCCGGATACCCTCGTTGAAATTTCCAATCGAGGTTGAGGCCGTACGCACCTCGAATTCTTTCATTTTAATTTAACTCCGCGATTACATTATAAATAACCCATTCTCATGAAAACATCGATAAATCATGCATGGACGATTAAATCGCAAGGAAAGGTAAAGTGTGTCAGTAACAATCTAATTAATCGTGAAAAGATATACATCGAAAAACAATATCGTACATTTCGTAGAAAATACCAAGCACAGGATACTCTGTAATTTCCAAATATTATTTTTGCCTATGATTTTCACATCGATGTAACTGCGTACTATTGAGTAATCCGGAAATACATCGATGAGTCGAACGCGATTACCCGTCAGATTTTACGGTAACCTACATAATGAACAGGAAATATTTAATAACATTTATGTCCTTGCGTTAAAATCACCATGAAAAGATCAAATTATTTGGGAAATACCGAAAACCCAGTTGAACCGTATCCGGCTCGTATAGCACCATACTTGTATTCTATTTCCACGAATCCATTGCCATAGATAGTCGACCAGAACACGTTCGAGGCTACAGGCATTGACGTCTCCACGTGTCTGATACGTGTAAGAGCAAATCTAAGTCGTAATTGCTTTTGTACCTCTGACAATAGTATTATATCTCTAACAAAGGATCAGAGAGACCTACAACCCTAGTTTCTAACATTCTAACCATTTCTTGATGACTAAAAGGACTCCATATTGGATCCATTATGGCTACTGGGAGCTGCTTTAGATTTATATCCTAGTCCAATCTCGATTCAATTTATCATAGCAATTAAAACCAGCGTAAAAGTGTATTCGGTAACAATTTCATCGTCTACTCTTCCGGTAGTCAAGTTGATCTTTCTAATTTTCTGAAACCAGAAATGCAAATCACGTGCGCTGCATCGTACGACGTATATCCTTCCTCGGACATAAATACGTCAATTATACGTATGATACATAGATAAACAAGGCAGTAATTACTACATCTGTAGAAATTCCGATAGTGAAGGGAATCCCGCGAAGGTATCCAAGGGAACGAGTAAAACGCGAGGATGGTAGGGGCACCATTAAGATGCTCGATCATGGAGGAAGTGGCAACAAAGTACCAATCTCTGCCTCTGTTTCGGGGGACACTGTGTATGCTATTGACATATGATAATTCCCGCGCTTGCGTGGAGCAACAGTGTCGAAGAATTGTAAAATTTTTTTAAATACCAGCATCGTTAGCGACCGCCACTCAGTCAGCCGTCGATTGTTTGGGAGACAGGTTCGTGAAATTTAAAGTGATACGATTTTAATAGTTCTCCGCGTAGTGATCGATCATTTGTTGGATCGATTAACGTTTTCAACGTAACACGAGAAAATTGTATTTATTATAGAAGCAAGTTTTATGTGACGAATAACTAAGTAAAGATTTTAATACATATTTCACGTGTCGTATTGCAACGGTGTTTCTCATTGTTCTCGTGACATTGTATCGCACTTCTGTAAGACTTTAGAACGATATTCGTGTGATTTATTTCGATGATAGTTCGAGTGAACGTGACTTTGTTCATGATAGAATAGGAAGCTGATCATTATGGTCGCTCCTATATTAATTCCTTTATAATTCTATTCTTTTTCCATTTCAGAAAGATGATGACATTCGAGATGATGCTCGTCGCATCTTTGACGTTAATCGGCCTTCTTCGTCCACTAGTTCACGTGGCGTCTGCTCAAGGTTTGCGCTTCAAGTTGCCTTCTCCCGTGCACTTCCCAGCGCAATCTCGCCGCGTAGCCTTGGTGCAATTTTTGAAATTTGAAAACAGACACGTTTCCGGCAGTCACCGATAAACAGGCGTAAAAATCGAACGAATTCGTTCGCGGCTCTTTTAGTTCTCGAATTCTTAAGGCCACGAGGTTCACGACTTGTAAAGTACAGCTCGGTTCAGCCTATTTCCCTGTCACGCCTCGTGAAAATGTTTCTTTCGGCTCACGAACGTCCGAACGGATTGCTTCACCTAAAAAACCCAAGATAGTACACGCTCGACTATGTAATGATATTACGTAATATAAACAAAAACTATCGACTTAACGAGATATCGATGCGATGCAAGTACGCCGTGCAATGAACTTTTAACATCGTGTAACATTAATCTAATCTCGGATCATCGACCTAGAAATTTTTTAATTATCAAAAGAATATTAAACGACCTTGTTACTTCGATTTTACGAGGATACGTATTTTCGGGTAAAAATAAAATCGAAGGATCCGTTTGCTTTTTAAATTTGAAAATCCGTAGAGGATTAAGTATAATTTCGTTTCTTTCTCTAATTCTTTATTCTCCTATTGAAATTTTCTATTGAAGAAATAAATTATATTCGGATGATAGTTAATAAATCACTATCTCAGAAGGAGAACAGCAATCGTGGAAGAATCTATCGAACTTGACCGTATTTTATTTAAAGAATCGAGTAATCGCTCTTCTCCGAACGCACTCAAGGACTGTACCTTCGGAAGGTGAAGAGGAATCTTAATATTATATATACTGCCTAGCCTGACCGGTATCGGAGCTCAGAGTAAAAGTCATTACCACATCGCGTGACCACTTTCTCGTAATTAGATAATCGTAATAGAACGTCTTGTATCATTTATTGATATTTAAACATCGCTTGATGTCGAATACAAATATGAAGATCGGAAATACCGAACCAGAAAAATTGTCTGGTTTCGAAATTGTTTTCGCACTTACTGAGATCATGCAGCTACTTTTAGAAAAAGTAATCTAAACATTTAGAGAAACGGTAATCGATGTTTGCCTAACGGATTTGTATTATATTATATCATACCATATACTTATCTATGCCATTTTAATTAATATATACTTATGCTACGTTTAGAGGCTCATTATAGGCCGGCAGTCCTAATCTTAGACTTCCTTAATTCCAAACGCATTATCGAAACGATAATGAAACGATTATTAGCTCTCTACCTTGATCTTTTACGTAATTCCACGCGAATCAGGTCGACGATGACTATTTTGTTGATATAATACGTGCATATTAATTTGCGCATCGAAAGGTATGCGGAGCGTGCGAACCGATTAATCGCCGCCATTTTGAACTAGGTAACCTCGTTGATGTGCAATAACCAGAACTCGCGGTATGAATCTTGCGGTTCTGAAAAATCGTATGGTATTCGTGACGATTTATCTATCGTCGATATCTTCGTTCCATGCGTTTAATTACCAGGACGCTGTCAATTTATACACGAACGATTACATATCGCGCTACCGGAAGTAGCGCACGAATACGCCAGGCCTCGATCGTTAATTTCGCACTCGATCATGAATCAGCCATCTAGCGCTGTATCTCACGCGGGAAATTATGTAACGAAGTTCACAGAGAGACAAATATCGTATCCTTCGTCATATTTTCTAAGAAACCGGTCGATGCTGACGATAACCAACGCTACTTATGAATTATCATAGGCATTTCCCCCGCGGCTATGGCGTTTAGGATACCACGATCTGGGATTAGGGATTTCGTGGTCTGATGCGGTTTACTGGTAACGAGATGGGAAAACTTCATGCGAGGAAAAGTTCACTTTCGCATTGAACTTCGAACTCTCAATATTTACCGAGTAATAAGCTCAATGCCGATGAATTGTACGGGTATATCCCTGTAGGATCTTTCGTTGTTCGCGAAGTAACATTTTCGTGTTGTTAACGTGATAATAATTGGACAATTGTTTGGAAACGTAACGAGATGCAAGCGTCATATAATAAAGCACTCGCAATGAAAAGACTGAGAATTAGTCTCAAGATTTTCGACCATCGAGCCGAAGGAAGTATAATATGTATACATAAATTTTCATGTCAACGCGATGCCTTAGAGGAAGCCTAATTGCTTTTCTATGCTAAGAAAATTCCACTTAATTCTCAATAATGGATTGAAGTTTCGTTTCATCGTAATTACGATAGCTGAAGTTAATTCCAAACATTTGAAATTTTAGATCAATTATGCACCACACCGAACCAGGAAGCAGGCACGTGTATTAACATCAGAAACTGTCAGCCCTTACTGACAATGCTACAAAGGGAAGGCCTTGCAGCGGCCGATTATCTTAGAAAATCCGTGTGCACATACGAGAATGGTGATCCGATCGTTTGCTGTCCGGGGACTCCAAACCGAGAAGGCAAAGACATAACAGAAAAGGTGTACGGGCCCTTGCATCCGCCACAATGTGGCTATAGCAATGTCACCCACACCAAGATCGTCGGTGGTGCACCAGCCGAACTCGGTACGCGCCCATTTTACACTATTCCAATTGTCCAATTCTCTTACATCAAACGAATTACTCTACATGGTCGATTTTTTAAATTCTATTCAATTATAATATACTAGCTACCTCTATAATTAATTAATTTATTCAGAATTTCGTTAAAACAATTTTAAAAAATATTTCTATCAGCAGTGAAACTTGGTGGCGAAAAAAATAAATAAAAGAATTTAAAAAATTTTTATACCGTACATTGACGTGCAAGAGTATATGGATGTAAATATGTACCATGCGAGAAAATTTCAGAGAACTACTCTCTAGTTCCAGTTTTACATAAGTTTCGGAATTTACGTTGACAATTATAGATGACTTATAAATCGGTAGTCAAATGCTCGTGATAATTTTTATTCACAGAAATATGATTCATATCCAACACTGAATACTCGTATTACACTCAGAAGACGACTCGCGAAATGGTACAAGGGCAAGAGAAGCAGTATATTCATACCGTGTAAATTCTGTTCGAAACCCTTACAGACACGTTGTCCTTGACACACGATAGCGTTTCGGGCAGTAAGAAAAATACGTGGACTTTATTTTGTCAGGATTACATCAGCGAAAGTGAATCCATCGGGAGATACCCAATGGAAACAGCATTCCTTTCCTGGATCATCTTCTGAGTAACGCGTTTAAAATTTTCTGCACGATTCAACATTTTAATGAATAATAATGATGTTTAGATCGCTATACCAACGAAGCTTTGCTTTCATGATTTCTCTTGTGTCTCAGGTGCCTGGCCATGGATCGCTGAACTGGGTTTCCGTGACAGCACAAATCCGGCGCAACCAAAATGGCTGTGTGGTGGTTCCCTAATTTCGGCTAGGCACGTTCTTACCGCGGCACATTGCGCTATTCGCGACGATTTATACGTGGTCCGTATCGGAGATTTATATTTGAACCGAATTGATGACGGAGCTCATCCTGTACAAGTGGAAATCGAAAGCAAAGTGATACATCCTGAATACACTAGCAAGTTATTCGTCAATGACATTGCTGTTCTCAGATTGGCAGAAGAAGTACCGTTTACGGGTAGGTAATCCTTGTTTTTAAATAGATGAATTAGGCAATAAATTTGAAGCAGATATTCAGATCTAAATAGATGTTAATTTTTCTAATTCAGCTGTAAGGATCATCAGTCGACACGTGATTAAAAAATTCCCAATTTATGCACCTATTAGATCATTGTACACTTTATCCTATTTCTCCTTCTTTGGATGAAATTTCCAAGCCTACTCATATCTTTCATTATTTTCCTTTATCACGATTATTTAATCGATTAATTTTTTCAGAGCACGTGTATCCCATTTGTCTCCCTGTAGAGGACAATCTTCGAGACAACAGCTTCTATCGATATCTCCCCTTCGTTGCTGGATGGGGAGCAATCGCAAACCGTAAGTGGAATTCTTTCTATAAAAGAAATAAATGATGTCAGTTTTCTGAAATTTCTTTCTTGCTTTCTTGAACAGGAGGGCCAGCTAGCGACATACTAATGGAAGTGCAAATACCAGTCGTGAGCAACGAGGCCTGCGAACAGGCTTACTCCAGGTTTAAAGTTGCGAAGATCGACGATCGGGTACTATGCGCCGGATATGCTCGCGGTGGAAAGGATGCTTGCCAGGTACTTAAATTACAAATTAAATACGAATTATATGGGATCTGAAAAAAATATCGTCGAATCATTAAATGAGTTTATCATTAATAATATCTACGTAACAATTTTTTTTATTAATTATATGTCATCGTTATTTTAATCAGCTTCATTTATAGTATATTACATAAGACACATATATGTCAATTCCGACGCATAATATGCAATTGATGATTCGGTAATTCCTACTTTTAATATTTTTCTTTGCAATCGTTTCAGGGTGATAGTGGAGGACCATTGATGTTACCACGAAGATTATACTTCTATCAGATAGGAGTTGTGTCTTATGGTTTTAAATGTGCCGAACCTGGATTTCCTGGTGTCTACACTAGGGTCACCGCATTCCTCGATTTCATCATCTCAGCACTGCATTAACGCGATTACTGGTGCCTCACAAATCACGTTTTCTAAGCCTGTGATGAAAAAGGAAGTTGGAGTTCATTACCGTTTACATAAAAATTGATTATAATTTCTATTATTTTTTACATCGCGAAATAACGCTTCAAGATGCACGAATAACGTCGATTTTATGCACGCTTCGCTTTCAGACTTTGTACGTAAAGCATACAGTTTCGCGACTATCTTTATACACACCTTTCATTGCTTCTCGAATGACAAAGATAATTTCATTTTTAACAGTTCGTTTCAAATTTTGCTTTTCAAGGACCGAGGAAATGATTAAATATTATATCTAGAATACATAGATCTTACACGAAGTTTGCAAGTACTTTGGCGCGTTTCATAAAATAGAGAAATCATGGAAGTTGCAAACATAGAACATGCAAAGTACAAGATAGAGCTCGCACTTTTGGAAAGCATCTTTTATCCAGCGTAAAGTTCATTTCTACTTTTAAGTCACACGAAGTTCTCGAAATTCTACCTGTTTTTACTCTTTTTTAATTATCTCTTCGTTTTTTTCTGTTTTTACCTAGAAGTTTTATCACTGTCAAGATATTTCGTTTGTGGCTCTATTTATTAAAAGTAAGGAAACATTTACTCGAATGTATAAAAAATTCAATTGTTAATTTGTTATGCTGAACATGAATAAACAAGTATTTGTGTTATATTTATATATTTATTGTTGTGCTTTATTACGTATATATATGTGTTTGTGAGGTCATACATTTCATACCCATTAAATTCAGTGACGTATATTATCACGAATTACCTTGAATGAGTCATAGGAAAACGTTATTGAAGTCGATAACAAGCTACCACATCCATAAACATTGTATAAGATAGACGTTGTACTTACTGTATTTTTCTATTCCATATTATCATTTTCTATCACTTCCAACGTTACCGACTTCCATTCCATAAGACTCTAACGCTTATAGTGGTCACAATTGAAACTATGCGTGACTACGAAGAAACTATAATTATAGTATAGTCAAGAGATTTATGTTTCATTTAATCAAATTCAGTATAGTTATAATAACATATATTAGTTACGGTTAAATAATAAATTCATTGTGAAAGTTCCTTTGCTATTTAGTACCATTTTCAATATTACTAATTGAGTATAAAGTAACATTATAAAGAATATTTCAAATTTATTGCAAATATTTAAAATCTTAAATTAATATCGTTAATTTTATTTGTATTAATTGTATTAAAATAATTGTACTATTTTTTAACAAAAAGAATAAATACATATTTAATTAGTGAATAATACATTAGTCATCCATTAAGAATAATCACAATAGATATGAAATACATTGAAAAATTAAAGTTCTAAATTGCAAATGATACACAAAACTTTTGCTTATTTAAAATCAATATTTGAATACATGTGATATAGAACTTTATGGAATGTTATGACTATTCTATTTCATATCTATGAGTCGATATTTGTTGATAATCTGCATAAACTAAAATGAAGGAATCTTCGTAAATTTCAGTTGGTAATAACACAGATGAGATAAGAAAGCATTCTCATGGTCGATATTGCGGTATCGTAACTTTATTATTCTCCTGGAAATTTTACTACATAATCTTGTCGTTAGATGTCAGGATGTCGTTGATAACGTTGCACGTGTTACGTTGCCAAGGTTTAAATAAGTTGGCTACATCGCTGAGATTAGGATCGACCGGTACTGTTATTAGATCACGACCGTGTTCTGTGTTTAAGAATTACTCGAGGAAAATGTCATACACAGCTGTCGAGAGGGGTGCTCTAAACAGCACTGATTACCGACTATATTTCAGTAAGTATGCAATGACATAACCTTAAAATTGAACAATAACTTTCGTACAATTTGATTCTTTAAATGATGGAGTCTAGCATTGTATTTAAATTTCTGAACGTATTATTATACGACTTCGCGATTTGCGTAACGTCACCTTTGTATTATTTTCAGCTTGAGAATTAGCATTATATTTTTTATATACTGAGTCATGAATATTTGAGCCTTGTATATATTAGTTTTTCTACACGTCTTTTTTGTCATAGTGTATGAAAAGCCTAATGTTTTAGCAAATATATTCATGTTTTTAATAATTTAAGATTTTTCCATTTATCTAGAAACGAGTTTACATATTACGAGTTTTTCGTATTTTATCGAGACGTATGGTTTGGTGAAAGGATTTTGAGCCTTTCATTGGCAAAAAATCTAGTATTCTATTTCTCGCATATGTTCAAAGTTCATTTCTATTTTTGTTAGTACTATTGTTATTTTAATCAATATCGTAGTTATTGTCAATGATGGAGATGTCAATTTTATCATTGAAAAATTTTGTTTTCAGTTTCTTTTTCATGACGTTCGTTTTTTTTTTTCCTATGAAGTATTTCAGCTTCATCCTGTTCTATTAATTCAATATTTATTATTAGTTTTTTTTATTACAATTCTGAAATCAGATCGATTAATTTCCAAATCACTCTTGGAATTAATTAATTTTCAAATCATTTTATTCGCATTATTAACATTTTTTTTCGATTTTACTGAGTTTTTTCGGATATTTTTTCGAATAGTAATCTTTTTATGCTTTTATATATAGGAAATTAGAGTTATGAAAAAATATATCTTTTTATCTAAATTATGTATTATATGTTTTATAGGAAATGATGTTGGCCCAATTTCACCCATGCATGACATTCCACTTTATGCTGATGAAGCTAATAAAATTGTGAATATGGTTGTTGAGATACCAAGATGGACAAATGCAAAGATGGAGATCAATCTTAAAGAAACATTGAATCCTATTAAACAAGATGTTAAAAAGGGCAAATTGAGATATGTTGCCAATTGTTTCCCTCATCATGGGTATATATGGAACTATGGTGCATTACCACAGGTACTTTAATCACCTGATAAAGCCTCTATTAGCATATTATCAAGTTGATATAAGTAATTACAATATAAAGGAATTGATAATTACAATGTGATAACAAAGGATGATGTATTTCTTCTTTTGTAACATCATTTTGTGCTTATAAAATGATATAAATTTTATTGGCACTAATTCATTGAAGAAAATGAATGATTGTATGGTATAGTGACAGAGAGAGAGAGAGAGGGTGAGGGAGAGGGAGAGAGAGAGAGAAAAAGAGAGACGCACACACGTGCGCGCGCGCATACACACATATTTTTTCCATTCATGTATATTACAGTAAAGTGTATGAAGAATGTTTTATCAGAGCTTATGTAAACTCTTAGTCTTAGTTCAAGGGTATTGCTATCTCTTCTGCTATCATCTATTCTACAATGTTTAATGTTTTTCCTATTAATTTTATATATTTTCTATTAACTTCTTTCTCTTTATTAGAAAATAAACTGTACTTTAGATAAATTTATAAAATATCTGATAATATGAAATATTCATATATATATATATTTTTTTAACCAGACTTGGGAAAATCCTGAAGTTCTAGATGAAGCTACCGGTTGCAAAGGGGACAATGATCCTATCGATGTACTTGAAATAGGTTACAGAGTGAGGAACTTTTATTAAAAATAGAATGATGAATTTTACTTTGTATTTAATAAAATGTTTATCATTAGGTTGCAAAAAGAGGAGAAGTCTTAAAAGTAAAAATTTTGGGTTGTGTTGCACTCATTGATGAAGGTATGTAATATTGAATGAATAGTTAGAAATTATTTCTTTAAATATATTGTCATATCTGTGGTGATTTTAGGTGAAACTGATTGGAAAATTATTGTTATTGATGTCAATGACCCTTTGGCAGAGCAAATGAATGGTAAAGTTCATTTTCAGTAGCCTCTTGTCTTGATTAATTATACTTATATTTATTTCAAAATTCATGATATTTTTTACAGATGTATCTGATATTGAGAAGCATTATCCAGGATTAATGAAGGCTACTATTGAATGGTTTAAGATTTATAAAATACCAGATGGTAAATCAGAAAATCAATTTGCGTTTAATGGGGAAGCAAAGTCAAGAGACTTTGCTTTACATATAGTGGATGAAGTTCATCAGCACTGGCAAAACCTCATTAAACGAGAAGCTCCTGCAGGAGGAATTGCATGGTTTGTAAATTTCCTAGATATTTCAATCAAAAAAAGTGGTTTATTTGAAACTAATTTACAAAAACAATATGTTTGTAGCACTAACACAACTGTGGTAGGCAGTCCATTTAAAACTACTATAGAAGCTGTTGAAGAAATATTAGAAAAGGCTCCAGAATTACAGGATGCACAGGCAATGGATCCTATTGGTAAGTCACAGACATTCGTTCGTTTATTTATTAATTGCTTAATCAGATTTAAATAATATACAACTATGATTTACTTGCAGTTAATAAATTTCACTTCATTCAAGCACTACAGCATAAATTGTAAATGCACGCAAGATATTAATCCTTAAAAAGATTCACTACTAATTTATTCTATTTGTACTGTTGTTTGTTATATGCATGGTAAATGCTGATATTAAATAATTGTTATTAAAACGTTTTGATATCTGATTTCAGTCGATAAATGGCATTACGTGCATCTTAAGTGAGAGTAAAGAAATATTCTCACATCAATGCATCTGTTGATGTCTGCACAGACTTGCTTGTTTTTTGGCACGTAACGGAATACCGTGTATTACTCCCACATTCATCATAAGTTTTGATACATTCGATAGTTATAGATAGTACTTAAATACTATAGCATGTGCTTGCAGTACCGAAACAAGCAACACTTATGGGCAGTAAATGATTACAGATCACCTGTGTGTCTTATTTATTTTAATATATTTGTAATTATTGAATTTGAAAGTTTGTACAGAGTTTTCTGAGAACGTCTCACATGTATCAAAATGTTCTTGTTACTGTACTGTACGTACATGACGTAATGGGCAGTAGGAACTAAACATACTCTTGTCAAAGGTTGTAACACAACTTCCAACAGATGGTTAGAAGTAGGGTATAAATTTTCTTAGATGATTTTCTTTTTTTAAGCAAATAAATTAATTTTCTTTTTCATAATTTGTTATATTATGAATACAATGTACTACAATAAATTAGTTTGCGATTTAAGTTCTGCAGATTCTATTAAAAATCTTAAATCCTGTATTCCTATCTCCAATTTTTGAAATATTTACATTTGAAGTACAATATAATAACTTAAAACGTTATACTTGTAAAAAAAAGAAATAAATGAAGAAATCAATATCGTAAATATTTACATGGTTATCACAAAACATGAATTTAAAGAAATTGGAAAATCGATGATGCATCAGCTGATCCGAAATTAGGTAGATTGTCGATGTACCTAATAATACTACAAGTGCGAACTTGATTGTAAAGAAAAGCTCATTTATACTTTGTAATCCCGTCGTAGGTGCGTGTTTAGCCACAACATTCCGCAGGAAGTGGTCTCCGAGGAGACATTCGTGTCTGCTTCATAGTGTGCTTAAACATATGAGCCACGAGGTATATACATCGTACTGTAGAACACACATGTAACCGGACCAGAGAGACGAATCGACCCTTCGGTACAGTAAATTTCCAAGAGAATCAAAGTCTGATCTGAAAAAAAAAAAGCGAACCGCTGCGAATATTAAAAATGGTACAAAATTGAATTACTATAAACTGTGTTTATTGATAATAAGTATGAATTTTTTTCTCAATTTTGTACAATAATTAAGAAGTATTTTGATTTTTGTACATTTTAATAAAAAAGAAAAACCTATTTCATTAACTTTTCTTAGAGCAGAGACTAATCAAGTACGCATTCTGAACTCGAGATTTCGCTTTATCAATTTGCGGTTAACGGATAACGTTATAAGACAGCTGCAAAGCAGAAGAGGCAATATTTAACAAATATGAAGTAGCGACCGCTTCTCTGCGTTGGCTTCGTAACGTCTTCTCCTTTGTCTTTCCCGGTGATGCGATCTATTTTGTAGACGAGATGTCTGTGCGACGTTGTCTTCCTGGTTTCTACTCCCACGGGAAGTGTCCGTGCACTTCCACCCGAGGAAAATAGCTCTGGTGGCAGAGGAGGGGGTTAAGATACAGTACAGGTTGTGCGGCAAGAAAATAGTAAGACAAATTGCCATGACAACTTTCCACTCGAAATACAGGCCTGCTTTTATGTCTCTAAGTACCTTCAAAGAAAGGACGAAACTTAAAGAAATGTTAGAAAGTACCTGTCACTTGTATCCTGCGTAACTAAAATCTTGGACATAACTCCTGTAAGAGCAGCAACATATTGTAGATGCACGTAAATATTACGTCAGGATCTCGCCATGCTCATCGCGATAATATTAACTCTTCTTAGAAGCTGGAAAACGATAATAATTTAATTTTATGGTGTCGAGCTTGAGTCGTTTTAGAAATTCGTTACATTTCCTCAAAGTGCTACTCGATTTTTTGTCCTTACTCTTTCGATCTGTTCCCGCCATTTTTTAATCAGTTTGACAGATAAATGTAATAATTTATAGTCAGTCAACACGGTTTTTAAATAATTACCGACATTTATAAATTCCATATTGAATTTTTTATAACAGACAATTTGACACCAATAAACTAGGAATAAAGATACAACGAGATTCATTTTCATCCGGATTATGTATTACGAAACTTCTACATTTGTGTGAAGGTGTAAGTGTGTGCCCAACTTCACGTTATATTGCGCAATACCTCTAATTTTTCTATCACTCTATTATGCCTAACTTTCGGAATATGGCAATAAAATTCTTAAGATTCTTACACTGAAAAGTCGTTGAACGTAATAAGACGTGAAGTAAAAATGTGACGGGTGAACAAAATTTGGAAGTTTAGAATTATCCGTCAAAGAACCTCTAATCTGATGCGGACTCGGGAAGAAAGTACATATGAAAAAAGAAGTGGTACAAAAAGAACGAATCTTGCCAGGTTGGTCCGCTTTCTGGCCAACTATCCGATGTGAGACTGGATTCCTTCTTGGTGCCCTCCTGCCGAATTCCCCGCGCCCTTTTTTCTCGTCAACTCACTGGCAACACCGGCTAGGTGAACCGAGAGCAGGTGGAGGTATTGACTGGCGCAGTATACCACGCGCTCGCGCGAATCCTGCTACCGGAGACTCGTCGAGGCAGACGTAGCCCATGGAAAAGGAACAGAGAGAGAAGGGTAGTCCGGTTTATATAGGAACCGCCCGCAGCCCCCACCGTCCCTCCCCCTATTTGCCGGAATCCGACCAATGGGCGGCTACGCGTCTGTGGTAGTGCGGCGTCGCCTCGACTCGGTTCGCGCAGTCACAACTCGTTCGACCGTCGAACTGAACGCTTCCGCCTTGCGGAATACGGGAATACGAACGTGTCGGAGTTTACGTGCGCGCCTTTTCACTGTTCTACTGTCATCATCGTTCGTGAAAATCCTTTGTTCGTACTCGTCGAATCGGGTCACGGTGCACGTGTTTACGGGAATTCACACGGCGTCTCGTTTCGTCAGTTCACGGTGGACGGTGTTCTTCCGCGGGAATAAGAACCATGCGATTTCCCTGGATGTTGGTGGCCACGGTGCTCTTGGTTCTAGTCACCGAGGCGAGGTGCAAGCGAAAATTTGATGGAGATTTCGAGTTTGCCGAAGAGGTAAGTCCATTCTATTCTGTTTACAATTATACGACGTTGCCTTTGTCGCTTGTCGCATACGATCACCACCGGCTAGCCGATATGTCACGTCGCGTTTTCGAACCAGTGAAGCTCTGACAAGCGTATTAATATGCCGGGTTGAAAAGCACCGGTACTCGCTCTTGTTTCCGAGTAATAATTCGATAAGAAAAAGCATGACTACGAATTGGTTTCTTTGAGACCGCGTTGCATGCTGTTTACATGAAATGCTTTGTTCGAATTGGCGGATCTCAAGACGCGGTAAAGCGATTCTTATTGGAACGCGTCGATTGGCTGTCAGGCATCTATCGATAAGATGAACATCGAATATGGTTTATTCCTAGTTGGTTATGTTTTTCGCGAAGTTAGTCGTAAGATGTAACGGACAGTTCGAAAGGGTCGATCGTATTTGCCAGTTCGTGTCGCCAAGGATACGATTCGTGTAAAGTGAGTCTCGAAGGTTATATGCATCGTAAAGCCATTGCGGGATAAAATAATGCGTTGTTTTTGTATTCATCTCGCGGTCCAGGTATATCTTATAGTCATTTTTGAACCGTTATCCACCAAATGAGTGTGAAACCTTTTAATTTTTCGAAGTGCATGGATAAATACACGGTATCGAAGATGTGATGAAGGTAAATTGTTTCTTTTTTGCTAATAACGAAATATAATACGTGGCAACCATCTTTAGCAGCCTCTATAAAATACACGTTTATAGCCGTGGTTCATTAAGTGGTTGGAGAGCACGCAATGCAGGCACTTTTACTTTCACGTAACTGGTGCTCTAATGCAAGTTATCGGTGCAATTGTTTATTTTCTTCGGAATGATGGTGTGCTCGCTTTCCATACGTTCGCTCTATCCTACGTAAACACCGTGATTGAAAATTATTATTGCACACGCATACACGAGTATATAAATATACGTATTTCCTCGCACGTATACTTTACATCGTGCCTAGTGTCTCCATGGTGTGTACACCATATGCTTTTTAGTACATGTAAATTTTGGAGTACAACTAGCCTTAAGTAAACTTTCGACTGCAATGCAGAGAGTCAGGTGACAAAGGCAACGAAAAACATATGTAAATTTGTGCTTGTTACTTAGTCTTTTCTATTTCACGTGTAATCATGTGGTGTGATTGCAGTATGAAGTTTACGAATAATTATATCGTAATTATTTATACCGTATAAGGTCAAATGGACGTATTTATACAAGGCTATTTTTTACTTTCACATTTGAGTACACGTACCACGGAACATTCCATGCAAGGTGTATCTTTATCGACAGAGCCGACATTAGCGATGCATTTAGAACGCCATATTTGATTTTTCTACGCGTTCGAATAAACTCGTGCCATTCCGGCCTTGTATTTGACGCTTGCATCTCTGACCTTGTTTTCGACGTGCAAACACTCCAAGGCACATCGGTTCACAGAATCATTTCGTGTTGTACAACTATCGCTTAATATCCAGAACTGCAAGGAATTCGAAAACAAGGTCAGGAACAGAATGCACGTGTGCGTTTATCTTTCTGCGGCCGGCCAGTTAGCGTTGTTCTTGAGCCTCGGTCGAAGGGTTCATTTTGTTGCGCGCGAGAGCTTAATATCGCGCGCACTTTAAATTTATGAAGCGGCGTTTTCAACGGCGCTGCCCCAATTTTGCCATTGCTATAACGTTATAACTCTATACGCTGCTGCGCCGTTGCTGTATGCACCACCACCGACACTTGACCCTCTTATCTTTTCTCTTTTACAATCCGCATTGCCATTTTTCGACTCGCTAGCGCACGAGTGGAGAACACGCGTCGCGTTGGCTTCCCTCCGTGAGAAACTGTTGAACCACTTACCAATAACGCCTCGCTTTCGCGATAATTGCGTTTTTTCGCCGTTGTTCCCCCTCGTTACCTCGTGAACAACGCGGCGTTTTCCACGTACGGCGGGTCGCGAGGAAATACTGCGATTCCGTTCATGGGAATGCGGCAGAATGCTACATGGAGTAATCCGTTTCTAACTTTTTTCGGTACCATTTATTATTGGAAACGTAACAATAAATATTTCATTGGCGTAGGGTTAGGTTAAAGCCGTGCAGTACGGACACCGTTGAGTTTCCTTCCTACATTTTAGGTTACAATTGGTAGACAATTTTTGCATTTTTAAATTTCAAAAAAGTAATTTGTGTAGTATAACTAATAGTTCGTGTTAACAAAGTTAGTAAATAAAACGATATTTAAATATCGAAATAATATTCGAACTTTATTTTTGCATACATTGCGAGTAAAATATCAATGTTCTCTCCATCCGTGCATTAATAAAGGCTGATTTTCAAGAACCAATGGAAATGGCGATATTCCTCGAATATAAAAATTCGCAAGATATTCAAAGCTCGAAATATTCCGTGTAAAAATATTTTTTCTTCCAATTAATTATCCGTATCGTGTAGAATCATGCTGATTCTTTAACGATCATATCTGTACGCGAAGATATATAGGTATCTACGATTCAGTTAATTATGCTGATACGAATTTTGCTTCTGTTTATTCATACAATATACTGGCTGGAACGTACTCGGTTGAACTATTCTCGTAAAAGGTCTCTAATTAGAAGAAGTCCGTATTTCACTGTATTTGGCAGAGCAGCGTATTTGTCGATTCACTAGCTTGTTTATTCGAGCGATTTTTCCCGTTCTTTTTGGCGGGCCAGTTTGTATAAATTAACCTTCGTTTTCGTCGATGTTTTTACACGATCAATCCTCGATCGTAATTTCTGCACGCGATCGTTTGTTTGCAGTCTCGTTTCGAAAGGGGTGAATGCACGGCTCGCGCGTTTTTCCGCACGGTTGTCGATTGCGAGGCAATTTTAACGGTGGGTGTCGGCGACCACGAGATGATGCACAGCGGAATCGATCGAGCAAACCGGAAACGACAACTTTGTTCTGCGTCCTCGAAGGAATTTCTCCATTATTATGTCAAATGAATTACGTCGATTATTTATTTATCGCAACCGTACTCGGGGTCGATCAGGATTGATTCGATAACCGTTGCCACGACAAAGCTTTCCTCCCCCCCCCCCCTCTTGCACTCGTCATTTTTCTCGTTAATTATTTTTCGATTCTTCTTGGAATTTTTTTTGAGTATCGGGGACAGAGGTTGGAAGTTCAACCCTTGATAATCAACTGAGATATAAAAGGGGTGGAAAAATTTCGAGATTCTTCCTCCGCCGTCTCAACACGTCCGTAGCCAAAGGAAAGCAAACGTTTTGATAGAATATTAAGTTCAGGAGGAAAAGTTACATTGGAATATTTAGTAGAGAAGCCAGCCCTTGTGTATACTAAGTTCTTGCTATCTCGATCTTTTTGCCGGGCCCTGCATTTGATTTTGAGATCTGGAAGTGTCGATGATTAATATAAAATTAGGTTAAGGCGAATCAGAGGGGTAAAGAATAGGTAAGAATTGATTTGGGGTAAGGATAGCGATAGTTGGTAATTAGGTTGGTGTTAGAACGAGTGACCCAGAATTTCTCCGGAATTTTTCTGTGCCGTCAGTACCGGTACTCGAAACTCGCTTGGAAAACTTCGCGTAATAATCCCAGTCCTTAAATATTACGATAATTATTTAATAACTCAACGAATATTCCAAATAAATGAATCAACTCCCTTTTATACACGTAAGTAGAAATTT